CTTTATTAATCTCTCTCTCTCTCTCTCTCTCTCTCTCTCTCTCTCTCTCTCTCTGGGGTGATGGTAGTGGGTGCAGCAGAATGCTTATAGAGGTTGTGGGAAACACTGTATAACAACTTCTGTCCATTCACCTGTACACAGATGGCAGGGTTTGAACCTGGGTCACTCAATTTGGACTGCAAGCTCCTTTCCCCACTGCACCATCTCATGCCCCAGTGACTGGCCCTTGGTCTCTAAAGCTGTTGTTCTCCATGAGCTCTCCAAAGACTTCCTGCATAGCCCAAAGGCTTCATCAAGCCTGCTCTTCCCAAGGCATAAGAACCAGAACCCCACCTGCTCTTTCCTACCTACCCTGCTTTCTTGGTGTCCCCCCAGCGGTCCTCAAAGGAACTGCAGCTTCTAAAAAGCAAGAGACTCGATAATCATCCTGAATGCCGCTACTTCCTCCTTCCCACCTGCCCACTCTTCCTAAAACTGACAAGAGCTAGTCTGCCCACTGCTGGCCCCCCGTCATTTCACTCTATCAGTTCCAAGTTGCATCGGTCTTTGAGGTTTTTCTTGATTTGTTCTATGGCAAAAATCGCCAGCGTTTGCTTCCTTTTGTGTCTAGGAACCCCAAATGCCACCTCTTCAGAGATGTCTATCTATCACAACTAAGATACCCCCCTCGACCCCACAGCTATTTTCTCAGCTGCTGTGTTCTCTCTGCGTCGTTGTCGCCCTTGGATGCCTACTACTTGTTTGTAACATTTTCTCCCCTCTCTCCTGCAAAATCCAAATTCTAAAGCTCAACTTGTGCGTCCAAAGTAGCCACCACCCCCTTATTATAACTGCGCTTTCCAAATCAATCATGGTTCAATTTCAGTATGGCAAATATTAAGTGGAAAGTTTCAGAAATAAACAATTCATGAGTTTTAAATTGCCGACCATTCTGGGTAGCATGATGGAGTCTTACATCATCTCGCTCCATCCCACGCAGGACGTCACCCAAAATGTGAATAATCCCTCTGTCCAGTACATCCACGCTATATAACTCGACCCGCTTGTCACTGCTAGCCAAGGGTGTTATCAGTCACACAGCTGCAGTAGACAGAAGCTTCAGGCAGAGGCTTGTGACTTGCTCCCCATAGGTAAGAGGGACAATGATGGCTCGGCAGAGTAGCCATTCAACAAACCTTTGCTGAATGCCTTTCAAATGGCTGTCAGTAACCACATGAATATGCAAAACACCCCCTTGATCTGTGCCGTCCAAGTTGGTAGCTATAGCCATAGGTGGCTACTGAGTGCCTAAAATCAGGCTAGTATAATTGTGCTGTGTTAGAAATAACACATACACACCAGATTTAGAAGACTGGATGGAAAAGAGAATGCCAGAGATCTTATAAATAATTTCCACGTTAGCTGGGCTTGGTGATTCACGCCTGTATCCCAGCACCTGGGAGGTAAAGGCAGGAGGATCAGGCGTTCACAGTCAGTCTCAACTGCATAACAAATCCAAGCCAGCTTCAGTTTTATACAACCTTGCCCCCTCCAAAAATATAACAAAAAATAATGGTTTTGCACCTCTTATATTTAAATGATAACTTTGATATATGTATTTGTTAAAATGCTTGTTTTAAAGACATACTTGTTTCTTTTCTTTCTTTATTTAATATGGCTACCAGAAAACTTTAAAATGTACACTTGCCTTATGTTTGAGTCCATATTCTGTTCCTGCTGAACAGTCTGCCCCAGCCATAGACTTCTGGACCACTATGCTTTCTCTCTGCGGCCCAGCAGAACTCTGTGACTTTTTGGCATGCCTTTCAGTAGAAAAAAACAGTCTGTGGCAAGTCATCCCCCGCAATCAAGAAAACACACATAAATCGATTGGCTGCCTCCTGATAAGTATGCATAAGCCTGTGAGCCTGGGATGCTATTGACTTTATTTCCGCCACTATTATTCATCTTTGGCCTAATCAGCCAGCACATTATAAACTCCCTCGGCAGGAATAGCACGCCTTCATCTTCCTTTACCTCTTGCCTGGTCTAGAGTCCTGTCACATCCTTTACTGCCTTCTAGGACAGATGACAAACCAACCAGCAGCCTAAGCCTCTGTCGTAGTGGCTTCAGAGAAAGACAAAGCGAATTGACTCAGCCTTAAAATGTCAAATGAATCACGATGCCACAATGACTTATACCTCCTCAGAAAGCTGTGAATTAGTCCTCCTCAGCTGGCTTGCCTCTGACCTTCCTAGCATCTGAGATTACATGATTAACTCGAGATGGGAAGCCATCTTCCTGTTCAGTAACCTGCGGGGGTTACTCTGAATCTTCAAGCAAGCTTCCAACTTCTTGACCAGGAAATGTCCAAGAAAGGTTCAAGAGGCCTGGCCAATGAGAGTTAAGGGGTGATCTCCGGGGGGTGGAGGTGAGGAAGCAGGAAGGATTGACCCAAAAGGCAGGTATGTATATGAACACTGCCTGTACCAATCACAGCTCCTTACATGGTTAACTTCTACCAAGATGGGAAGTTAAATAGAAAGGCAGTATTTGGAGACCCCAATCTATATGGCATTGTCATGCATAGTTTGTGCCCTTAGGCATCCCCTGACCACAAAATCTTTCACTTTTATCTACTTCTCAGGGCTATACATTCTTCTGCTCTGGAGGGAGTAGTGAGTCCTTCCTAGCTGGCAGTCATTCACATCAGGGGGCGGCCTCCAGTGCATTTTCCAGGTAGAAGCAGCTTTTAAATCTGTCACCGACAGTAAGACCTTTCTCACTGTTATTTATCAAGGTTGACATCTCAGACTGACAAGCCAGGTAAATTGTTTTCTCAACAGTAAACCCAAGTATAGACCCAAGAGGTAATAGTTCTCAGGCCACCAGAAGTATCCCCCAGACTGTGATCACTCCATGGGGAACTTTTTTTTTTAACAATATTTGCAAGTTATTCACTTAAATCTCAGAAGCGTGAATTAATAAAAAGATAAAGATGTCATGCTCACAACTTGAAGAGGACCAGTGGTGGACCTCAGCTGCTACCTTAGAGAAGAGAATCTTCCCAGTTCTCCCTAGCAACAGCCCAAAGTATTATCCTCTTACCAGAGATGCTAAGACTCTAAAGGAACTTTCTCAGCCACCGAACTTTATATTCCCTGTTTGGTCCTAATGCGGAGTGGGTTTCAGGCTGCCCTGAGTTCAACAGAGATCGATTCGCTGCAGTCATACTGAGCTGCTCCCAAGGGGGCTCCTGTCAGAGTTCTCGTCTTTTGTTCTTAGTTGCTGTGAGACGTCATCTGATAAAACTAGGAAGGGCCAGGAGATGCCTCTGTGTCCAAGAGCTCTTGCTGCTCTTCTGGAGGACCTGGGTTCAGTGCCCAGCACCCATGTCAAATGAATTACAATCAACTTTAACTCCAGTTCCAAGCAACCTGATGTCCTCTTCCGGCCTCTGTGGGAATGCACACACACATGTGCTCACACACACGTGTATACACACACACGTGTATACACACACACATACACACACACATATACACACAAATAAACAAAAAAAGTCTTAAAAAAACAAAACAATAACTCTAACTGGACAACCTTGTAAACATCTGACCAAAAACTATACTTCAACAAAGGACCTTAACAAATGGAAGGAAAGCCACATGTGAAAACATTCACTCTCAATAGTAATCAAATAATACAAATAGGATCCCATATGCTTTTAAGTTGGTAAATACTAGCCTATTATTAACAATCTTAAAGCCAGGCATGGTGGCCCGTGGCTATAAACCCATACTACAGAGGCTGGAGCTACAGTGGAAAGGAAAGGGAAGGAATTGGGGGCATGATCAGACTTCTTTTCAGAAACTACAGACAAGGAGGAAGTGGAGCAGATTATGTATGATGTGAAAAAGAAAACCCTACCAATCGAGAATTCTATAACCAGCAAGACTATCAAAACACCCTAAGACACCCCACAGTTATGTACAATTTTTAAACTCTCAGGGATTAAATCCAGAACCTTAGCACATGCTAAGCCAAGTACTCTACCACTGAGCTACATTCCTACCACAATATGCATAGTGTGTGTGTGTGTGTGTGTGTGTGTGCATCAGTTAAGATCATTTAATCTTAAAAAATAATAGGAAAGAATAAGGAAAGATATGCCTTGTTAACATTAATTAAAATACATTTAGAGTGTTGTTTTAGCTACTGACAAAGCAGAGTCCAGAACAAGAAGAATCACCAGAGACAAGGAGGCAATATATTAATAGCAAAAGGGTTAACTCTCCAGAAAGACATAACAACCCTTAATTTATGCACCTAAAAGCAGAGTGTCAAAACAGGACAGAATGAACCAAGGCAAAATCCGAGAGAGCCGCATGGAGCAACAGATGAACCAACTCTGACAGTTGGAGACTTCAAGACCTCACCATCAGTAACTGACAGATTCAGCAGGCAGAAAATCATTAAGGACGTAATTGAAGCGAGTAGCACCATCAGTCAACTGGTTATAATTGACATCATCGGACTATGACATCCAACAGCAGAATACACGCTCGTCTCACACTCACGTAAAATGGGTCATCCATCAGGAGAAATCCCATTTTGAGCTATAAAATATGCCTTGAAATGTAAAGACTAGAAATCGTATGAAGTCTGCTATGGGGTCCGAAGGGCTTTGGCAACTCAGCAGCTGGGCAACATGCTTCCAAGTAACACGTGAAAGTTTGTTACATCTTCATTATTTTACCTTTTTTTAAAAAAAAAAAAAGAAGTGAGAGAACAGTAAATATCAAAATCAACACGGGAACATCATTTCATAGTTCATGAGCACCGAAATACATACATACATTACATGCATAAGTTATAATATACAAGTATATTTATGTATAATATACAAATATAATACATCCAAGGCACTTGACAGTCTAAGTGACCCTAGAATGACGTCATCTGACAGAGCTCACGCAGCGACAATCTGAGCAGCTCCATGTGTATTGAATTGAATCAACAATCTTTTGTCTTCCAGAGCAAAAATTTCAGAGTCAGATGGATTTTCCTAGGGTGAGGCCTACCCGTTGTCATCCAGATGTGCTGACCTCTGTAATTTCCCCAAATATGAGAAACTTAGCTGCGTAATTTATGATAGCGGGGGGAGGGGGCTGCATTTGTGCTCTTTCCTACTTCAAAAAAATTTAAATATATTAACATGTTGAATCCAGTAGTGAGTCAGGAAAATTACACAGCATGAGCAAGTGGGATGGAAGCCAGGCTTAAAAAGTGGGCCCATTGTTCAAATACCAATTACTGTGGTCCATTACATTAATACATTAGAGCAGAAAAAATACGATTGTGTTAACAGATGCAGAAAAGGCATTCAATAAAAAATAATACCTATTCATAATAAAACCCCTCACGAAACTGTGACTAAACAGGAACCTTAAACCTCAACTTGGTTTTAAAAACTACTAAGAATTAAAACCAACATCTAACATGGTAATAATAGTAATAACCTAGGAATTTTCCGATTCAAATTAAGAACACGGAGGCTGCTCACTCCCGCTATTCACCATCACCCCAGAAGTCCAACTAATGCAGAAAGACTAGAAGAAAAGTCAATGGTACACGTAATAAGAAGTAATAAATAAAAGTTTCTGTGTTCAAATGGCATTGATTATGCAGGAACTCCCCCAAACAAGAGTAAAATCATGGAAATGGGGACTGCGAGGCAGCTTCACATGCAACGGAGACATCGGTCATCTTCCTACACACCAGCAGCTGGTGAAACCAACACAAAGTGATGTATGTTAGGACCAAGGAAGCAGGAGATTTGGTGACGTATCTAATCAAATATGTACGAGATCTATGTGAGGAACACCGCAACGTTCTCATGGAAGAAATCTAGGATCTAAACAACTAGAATAGGTTCCCCACATGAGGAGAGGAAGTCTGATGTCAGTTCCCCACCCTGAATATATTTATGTAGTCAGCGCAACACAGTAAAAAAAACACTAGCAAGTCATTGCACAAATCAACACATAAATTCTAAAATTTATCTGGAGAGACAAAAGCCCAGAAGAGCCAACAGAGTGTCAAAAGTAAGGAGCACAGATGAAGGACGGGAATTACCAGTCTTGACACTCGCTACACAGCTACAAACACACAGATCAACACAACAGAATGGAGAGGCCAGAAGTAGACCCACACAGCTATGACCAACTCATCTTTGACCAAGGAGCCAAGGTTTAAAGGAGAAAACATAGCTATTGTTTCCTTTCTGTCCTTTCTTCCTTTCTTCTTTCCTTCCTTTCTTCCTCCCTCCCTCCCTCCCTCCCTCCCTTCCTCCCTCCCTTCCTTCCTTCCTTCCTTTTCTTTTCTTCTTCTCTTATGATAAATGCTGCTTAATCAACTCGACATGTAATAAACATACAAAAATAGATACTGACCTTATACAACTCACAAAAGTGCACCCACAAAAGTACAACTAAATGTAAAACCGCACAAAAACATAAGAAAAAACATGGGGGGGTCTGAGTTTTATAATAAACCTTCAGATGTAACAAAATTATGTTCTTTTAAAAACCATTAAGTTAGACTTTCTTTAAACTCACTCTATTGAGATATTTCTAGAAAAACCACAAACTCTCAGAAAATTATCCCAAAACAAATGTTTGATTAAGGTTTTTTTTGATGAAAAATAGACAGATAACTCTTAAAACATGACAATAAGAAAATAAACAATTGTGGCTGAATCAGAATTGCCTCCATAGGCTCCAGTTTCGAAGACTTGATCATTAGGAAGTGTCATTACTTGAGAGGAATTAGGAGGTGTGGTCTTGTTGCACTAGGTGTGGCCTTGTTGGAAGAAGTGTGTCACTGGGTGTGGGCTTTGGGTTTCCAAAAGCTTAAGCCAACCCATTGTCTCTCTCTTCCTGCTGCCTGCAGATCCAAATGTAGAGCTCTCAACTTCTCCAGCACCATGTCTGCCTGCGTGCCGCCATGCTCCCCACCACGATGATAATGGACTAACCTTCTGAAACTGTAAGCCAGCCCCAAATAAATGTTTTCCTTTGTAAGAGTTGCCGTGGTCCTACTGTCTCTTCACAGCAACAGAAACCTTACTTAACTAAGACAACTATCTAATTTAAAATTGAGCAAAAAATCTACATGGACAATTGATACACACACACACACACACACACACACACACACACAAACCATTCAAACAGCAAATAAGCAGATAAAGAGGTACCCACATTACATATCTTTAAGGAATGAAAAGTTAAAATGATGTGGTTAAACACACACCTACAGAGTAGCCAAAGCCAAATCACAAAGAGCATAAAGTTCTGGTGCACATGTGGAATCAGAGAATCCCCCCACCCACCCACCCCAGTGTTGGTGAGAATGTAAAACAGTAGTCTGGGACTGTTTGACAAAATGTACTCCTTCGTAGCGGACAAATAAAGAAGAGTATAAGAGCCAGAAGACAGGAAGAAGTGCTGGAGAGAGCTGTCTTCCAACGCAGCATGGCTGTGCACTCTTGGCCTCACAGCGGCTGTGGTCTACTGCATAACATTTGACCTACCCATAGTCTACAAAGGATGGGGGAGGGGCTTGTGGTTCCCATCCCTCTTTGAGGAACTATTGGCAGTTAATAGTTGCCAGAAAAGGGAGAGTGGTGTAACTACTGGTGAATTGCCCATGCTCTATTAAAAAACCACACCATGCTCATACAGCAACTCTAATGCAACAGAGTGGGACACACACACACACACACACACACATCATGAAAGTCTAAGGGAGACTAGTTGGAAATAAAAAGGGGTTCAGAAGGAGGGGGAAGGGCTCCAAGAAAGTAATGCAAGCGAATGTTATCAAAATTCATCATATGTGCACATTAAATTGCCAAGAAGTAATTAATAAAAATGACCATACCCATACAATCCGGCAGTCATGTTCTTTGGAATTTACTCAAGAGAGCTGAAACTATATCCACACAAAACTCCCACACACAAATATTTATAGCCTCTTTATTCATAATTAGCAAAACTTAGAAACAACCAAGATATCCTTCAACAGCTGAATAAACAGCATGACACATCCAGACAATGTGTGAAGTTTAAAGACCTCTTCGTCGTCGCCCCAAGCAGACTCGAAGGACCAGAACTAGGTGGTCATGCGCACCAGGTTGATAAGGCTGTTCCCTGACACAAATTCCTTTTCTTGTCTTGCTCTGTCTGTGACACAGTGACATTCAGACACACTAGGGGAACCCTTCACACTTTATGCTGCTTACTCACTGTGACCACCAACTAAAACCATTGTCTATGGCCTAGGTTCCCCGCCCTCCCTTTCCCTCTATGCCCAACCCTCCTCCCTCTATGCCCAACCCTCCTCCTTCCTTCCCCTCTTCCTTTTCCCTCTGCTTTCATCTCCCCTTCCTTCCTTTATCCCTCCCTCTCCATCTCTTTATCTCTTGCCCTATCTGTCCTGTCCTTCCTTTTTTCTTCCTTCCTCCCTCCATCTTTTTTTCCCCCTCTCTCCATTTCGCCCTCCGTTTCTGACCTTTTCCCCTCCACATCTGCTTGGGTGAACCCATTCATTAGGAGTCCTCCCAAAAGGCTCCTCAGTAGCAAGTTGTATCTCCCTCTGCAGAACCTGCTATGACAATCCTTTAATTACACTCTTGGAGTGTAATTCCCACATCAGCTAAAATGGTCCTTAAAGACTCCACAGGGAAGATGTACTGTATTTACCATATGTAAGAAATATTGCTCAGTGATAAACAAGAACAATAAAAAACACAAAGATGTAAAGTAACCTTAAATTTATAGTCAAAGTGAGAGAGGTTGACAGAACGCATTAACTCAGCTATGTTCCTCATTCCAAGGAAAGGCAAAATCAGTGACAAAGGGTGGGTCATGGCAAAGAGTTTAGGAAAGGGGGGTGAATTGTGAAGTGTGGTGATTTGGGGGTAATTAAGTGGACCTATGAGATCCCACGCTGTTGGATACATGAACTTATCAAACTTCACAGAACACACAGTACCAAGAGCAATCTCTAATGTAAAGATGGCCTTTAGTAAAAAATAATGTGTGGATATTGGTTCAATTGTTCTAGAAAATGGGTGAGATCCGTACAAGATTTTTACAGTGGGGAAACTGGAGTAGGGGTGAGAGGGTATTAGATAATTCACTGTTACAAGAATAAATACAAAAAGGGTTGGCTGTATGTTAGTCATAAGAGACATAGTTTGAATGGAACTCAAAACATGTCATTCCAACAACTGTGGCTATACTGAGAGGAGACAAAGTGGATATAAAGGCAAGCAATGTCATCAGAGATAATCATGGTCATTCTGAAGAGCAGTTCTTCAAGAACAGCAAACCACTGGTCATGTGCTCCTCATGACAGGGCTTCAGTCCTGGGAGGAGTCAGTCCACACAGATGGTGACGTCTGTCTCAGCAGACTGATAAAACGAAAAGATGGAACTCAACAGGAAGCTGAGGATCCGAACAGCTATAGCAAGCCAACTTCGTGTTACGGACATGTGCAGCCCTCTAGCCAGACAACTGCAGCGCATGGGTCATTCTCAGGCGTATAGAGAACAGTCACCAAGCTAGAATACATACTCGATCAGAAACCAAGCCTCGAAATACTTAAAGTATTCTGAGACTGTGTCCAGACTATCTACTGCCTGCTTTAAATTGGAAAATAACAAAGAGAGAGTTAGACCTGCAATTATTCGAGTATTAAGCAAAACACTCCTAAGTAATGGTGAATCAAAAGGAGAAATCACTCATGATATTAGAAAACATTTCTACTTGACTAATAATTATCTAAAAATGAATTTAAAGGGAAAATAGAGATTTATGTGCTGATATTGAAAAAGGAGGACAGTTTTAAAATGAGTTACCTGAGTTTCCATTTTAATAAAAAAAATTCTGGGTGTGGTGGTACATACACTTTTTAAAATATTTATTTATTTATTTATTATGTATACAATATTTTGTCTGTGTGTCTGGCAATGTTCTTAACTGCTGAGTCATCTCTCCAGCCCCCAGTGGTACATACCTTTAATCCCAGCACTGGCAAGCAGTTCTCTGAGTTAAAGGCCAGTCTGGCCTCCATAGTGAGTTCCAGGCAAGACAGGGATAAACCAAACAAGACACAACAAAG